ATGAGATGGCAGCTGTGATGGGCTTCTCTGGCTTTGGTTCCACCAAGAAGAGTTACTGAGGCTTTCTATGCTTGGCCTAACTTTGGCCTATGCTGGACCTAACTTTGTGTGTGTGTTTGTAGTGGGGGGTAATTTCTTTTTGGGTAATGGGAAAGTCCTTAAGAGTGTCAATGGGGAGGGACAGAAGTTGGGGCTCATGGTTTCCTCTACTTTGGGAGAGGACACAGATTGCAGAGGTAATGCTGTGGCATATTCCTTCAGCCTCAGTATATCACTGGAGTCATAGGACCCCTGCCCGCCTGAGTTCCCAATAAAGAAAAACCTCCCTTTCTGAGGCTGCTTTCCCAAAACTCCCCCTGCATCTTGATCTCTCCATCTATCCAACCTCTTGTCTGAGCATCCCACCTTTATCCTGTGTTCTGCCTTTGTTCGAATTTTAACTCATGTTCCGCCTGCAACAGAAGCATTCTCTAGGTCCCAGTTTCCAGTTGATTGCATATCCTTGACCAGCCCTTTTTCCCATCCCGCCCTATGGTTCTCTAGCCACCTGTGCATGCATGTGTATTTCTGCCTGGTTCTATGATGTGCGTGGATGTGTGTGCATGAATCTGTCACATAGAGGGGGCCTGAGCTGGAATCTCAGAGCATCGCTGCCCTGGGACCTAATGTTCTTGGCTTCCTCAGAGCATGTAACAGGAAATTAAATGGGATGAGTGTTTGGTGTGGTTTGTGTCTGGTGAGTTTTTTAACATTCAGGTATAGATTGTTTCAGCTTCTCTTGTTTCATTTTCCTGAGGATTTCTGTTTTTGTCTTCCTTGTGAGCAGGCTTTTGGAAGAACCTGTTTGTACAAAGAAGAAAATGAAAAAACAAAAAATCCCCAAAACCTTACTATGGGAGCCATTGGGTCCTAGAAGCTGTTCAACATGTATAATAAATGGCATTGACTGGGCCTGTTTCACATTTGGTGGGAACATTTCATCATCTTGCCTGTGAATATTTGTTTTTCTTTCTTATGTTGAGGATTTCAATATAGAGTGCTTTCTCCTTCTATTTAAAATTTTACTTTTGCCTAGGTTTTTTTTTTTTTTTTTTTTTTTTTTTTTTTTTTTTTTTTTTGCATGAGTTATGTTTTCCTCTGATACAGGATCTATGCCCAGAGGAGTCTGAACCAAAACTATTCCTATAATTTCAGACTCCTTTGATCTTTTGTTTTTGGAGCAGCAGAGCTCAGGGTTCAGCTTAGTGCCTTTCTTTTTTTTCTTGAGGCAGTCTCACTTTGTCGCCCAGTTGAGTGCAGTGGCACGATCTTGGCTTACTGCAACCTCTGCCTCAGCCTCCTGAGTAGCTGGGACTACAGGCGCACACCACCACACCCGGCTAATTTTTGTATTTTCAGTAGAGATGGTGTTTCACCATGTTGGCCAGGCTGGTCTCAAACTCTTGACCTCAGGTAATTCACCTGCCTTGGTCTCCCAAAGTGCTGGGATTACAGGCATGAGCCACTACACCCGGCCCTTAGTGTTTTTCTTACTATCTGTTAGACACAGGATTAATCTTAGCACTGTTGACATTTTTTGCCAGATGATTATTTGTTGTAGGGACCAATGCTGTACATTGCAGCATGTTTAGGATTTTGATTTAGGATTAACTTCCTCCCTGGCCTCTACCAACTAGATGCCAGTAGCACCCTCCCACTATTGTGACAACTAAAAATGTCTGTGCTCCTGAGAAAGACAAAATCCCTCCCTACCCACACTGATAACCACTGAGACAAGCTACCTGTCTTTTTCTCATCTAATCTTGGTCTAACGAGAATTAGATGGCAGAGACTGGTTAACTCAAAACAGAAACTCACAAAACTTGATATCCACTGGGTCAAGAACTGCCAAGTCCAGGGGATGGAGAGGAAAAATAGTCATACATACATGAAGAATTATAGTCACATTAATTTCAAGCAGATGAAACATGTAACTTTTGCTGATTGTATGCCATGAAAAAATGGACTTATTTGGGTTAACAAGGCTGTCACCATATAGCTGGTTTTCTTTCTCTGCCCCATTAAGCTCCTCACCTTTCTGTAGTATCTGAACCACTGTGGGTTCCACAAAGCACCATACACCTCCCTTTGGGCTTTTGTACAAAACTCCCTTACTGTAATGCCTAGTTAATTTCTGATCCTGAATCTTGCCATTGGGAACACCGTGAATGTATTTTCACCTGTGGGTTCAAGGCCTGGCTCAAAGTTTTGGATACTATAAGTATTTGTTGGTCAACTGGGGGCAGATTGGTAGCTGCTTTTCTTGGCAGGATTATGTGCACTTCAGGTCCCTTGGGTGACAGTCTGTTGACTAGGTCTTTTGTCACCCTTTTAGTGAGTTCCTTCACTTTTTTTAGAGTGTCACTCTGTCACTCAGGCTGGAATGCAGTGGCATGATCTCAGCTCACTGCAACCTCTGCCTCCCGGGTTCGTGTGATTCTCCTACCTCAGCCTCCTGAGTAGCTGGGATTATGGGCATGCCACTATGCCCAGCTAATTTCTTTTTGTATTTTTAGTAGAGATGGGGTTTCCCCATGTTGGCAAAGTTGGTCTCAAACTCCTGACCTCAATTGATGAGCCTGCCTTGGCATCCCAAAGTGCTGGGATTACAGGTGTGAGCCATGGTGCCCAGCCTCATTCTTCAGGAAACCATGCACGTAGCTCAATTTAGCTTCAAAGGATGTCTCTCCCTTTTTGGTATAGTGTGATCTTACCTCTGGTCACATCTAAAAAGCAATTCTGAATTTCAGAATCTTTATCTTGGGACTGGCAAGTGGTTTGAGTCTCAAAGGGAAACTAAGTCATGGAGTGTTTGGAGGTGCTCAAGGTGGCGCCTTGGGGAAGGAAAGGGAATGGGAATTCAAGGGCCCACAGCAATCTCAGATAACTCAGAAATCTCAAAGAGGAGCTTCTTTCAGGTCTTTTTAAACCAATGGAAATATTGCATTCTGGTTGAGGAATATCCATTTGACCGTGCTTAGGAAGTGAACATGCTAGAGGCACTGATGATACTATCTTCCGGGGCAATGCATCAAAGTACCAGATGTCATGGAATTTACATTCGAGTGTAATTGCCCTTCAAAGTACCTGGGGAACAAAAGATGATCTTTATGACTTAAGATGGTCCTGTGGCTTCAGGCACCGTCACGGCCTCTTGCATTTCTCCCTTAACTGTCTCCAAATATGTGTGCAGATTCTTTAATTCAGCATATTCTAACAACATACTTGTGTATATGTACATATGTGTACCAGGATGTGTATTACTGCAGTGTTATGATAGCGAATCTTAAAACTAGTACATTGATACTTGAATATAGTGCAGTTGTTACAATACAAGTGAATTAGGTTTATATGCAGTGAGCAGAAGGATCTCCAAGACATGCTGTTAAGGAAATAATATCCAACAACCAGATTCCCAGCAATCCCAAGAAAAACCTTATGTTTTGTGTACAGTTACATATACAGATTGAGGAAAAGTACTAGAAGGGTATACAGTGAAATATAAATAGGGGTTAATTGGAGACAAGTATGAATTTTGGGAGGAAGGGTTAGCTATTTACAGTGTACATAAAAGGAATAGATGTTCTTGTGGTATTAAAAATGGAAATAATTTTTAGGCCAGGCATGGAGGCTCACACGGGTAATCCTAACACTTTGAGTGGTTGAGGTGAGAGGATCTCTTGAGGCCAGTTCCAGGTCAACCTGGGCAACATAGTAAGACCCTGTCTCTACAAGAAAACAAAAAAAAAACCCAGAGAGCCACGGTGGCTCAGGCCTGTTGTCCTGGCGCTAGAGGAGGCGAGGCTAGGCGTTGCCTGGGCAACAAAACCTCTCATCCATTAAAAAAAAAAAAAAAATAGCTGGACAAGGTGACTCACGCCTGTAATGTCAGCCTTTTGGGAGGCCGAAGCGAGTGGATCTCGAGGTCAGGAGTTCAAGACCAGCCTGGGCAACATGGCGAAATACAGAAATTAGCCAGGTGTAGTGGCAACATGCGTGTAGTCCCAGCTACTTGGAAGGCTGAGACACGAGAATCGCTTGAACCCGGGAGGCGGAGGCTGCTGGGAGCCGAGGTTGTGCCAGTTCAATCCAGCCTGAGTGACAGAGTGGAGACTCTGTCTCAAAAAACAAAGAAAAAGAATTTTTTTGGCCGGGCATGGTGGCTCACATCTGTAATCCCAGCACTTTGGGAGGCCGAGCTGGGCAGGTCACGAGGTGAAGAGATAGAGATCTCCATCCTGGCCAACATAGTGAAATCCCGTTTCCATTAAAAATACAAAAATCATCTGGTCATGGTGGCACATGCCTGTAATCCTAGCTACTCGGGAGGCTGACGCAGGAGAATCGCTTTAACTCGGGAGGCAGAGGTTACAGTGAGCCGAGATTGTGCCACTGCACTCCAGCCTGGCAAAAAAAAATTAGTTGTGTATGGTGGCCTGTGCCTGTAGTCCTGGCTACTCTGGAGGCTAAGAGGGGCGTATGGTTTGAGCCTACTTGGGGCCATTGCACTCCAGCCTGGGTGATAGAGGGAGATTCTGTCCCTAAAAAAAATTTAAAAAGTAACAGGAAGTTTCACCTGGGGAGGGGTTGTAAGGTTTATCTAGTTTCGCAGCGAAGTTCTCAGATAAGGTCTGAAATACAATTTACAGCTTGTAAAGACTCCACTCCCCTGACCCAAGCACTCATTGTAAAAGTTGATTTGATCGGCCGGGCGCGGTGGCTCAAGCCTGTAATCCCAGCACTTTGGGAGGCCGAGGCGGGTGGATCACAAGGTCAAGAGATCGAGACCATCCTGGTCAACAAGGTGAAACCCCGTCTCTACTAAAAATACAAAAAATTAGCTGGGCATGGTGGCGCGTGCCTGTAATCCCAGCTACTCAGGAGGCTGAGGCAGGAGAATTGCCTGAACCCAGGAGACNAACAAGAGCGAAACTCCATCTCAAAAAAAAAAAAAAAAAAGTTGATTTGATCACAAAGTGACCCTGCGTGGTTGTTTTGGGAGCGCAGAGGCTGGAGGTGAAGGAAGTGGGGGCGTGTCGAGACTTGTGGACCAGGTGACTGCTGACAAGGAGAGAATAAGCTGGAGACACAACCGCGGAAGAGCTCTCCTTGGGTTAGGGGAAGGCTGAATCCTTGTCACTGCTGTGTGTCCCCAGACGGACACGCTCCAATTGTCTGGAGGTGGGGGGCGGGTTGGACAGTCCTGGATGCTGAGTCACGCTAGGCGCTTTTGCTCTGACTCACTCTCTGTGACGCAGGTCTTCCTCACCAGTCAAGAAAATAAAATCCGGAAACAGCCTCCGGGCCGGCTTTAGCTCAGCGGTTACTTCGACAATGCTTTCTTTGGTTGAAAACAATCACTCTGCGTGGTTCGAGACCCGCGGGCGCTCTCCGGCCTTTTTACTCCTGAAGTTTAGCTCCCTTTCCATGATAAAAGGAACCAGGGCTCCCGGGAGAAATGGCTGATTTTGGTACTGGGCAGGAAATACAGAGATGGACGTGGAGTATCTCCTAGTGGTACAAAGTAAGGAAGTGCTTAAAAATCAAAACCAAACTCTTAACTTTTAAAGTTTTTTCAGTGTTCAGTAATGTTCATGTGTTTGTTCTAACAGTTACCTGGATATTTGTATCTTCTCATCCTTTATACCTGAGGCCCAGAGGATTTTTTCTTTCAAATCTAATGGATGTTCGAAGATATACATCAGACTTTGATCGCTCCATGTAAATGTTCCTAGGTTTCCTTTCGATATGTAGACCCAAGTTTTCTTGTATTATAGTTTTGAAGATTACATCTGTTCCATTATTTTATTCTTCAGAGACGGCAATATATGTTGGATATTGACTTCTATACCACTTTCTCTCTGATCCTTTGAATTGCTTTCCTGATTTTATTTTTATTTTATTGGCTGTTTTAATACCTTTCCCCAATACCAGTTATTTTCAGTAAAAGCTTTTCCTGTTTGAACATCTTATAATTTAGTTTTCTCTTCTGAGATTTTTGTTTCTTTCATATCTCTTGCTTTTTTACAAACTGTTTCGTTACTGTTTTTGTTCTTTGTCCATTTCTGTTCTATTTTTCTGATTTATGGCATTTTTTTCATGTTACCAAATGATTGTTTAAGGTTATCTAATATAGGTTGAAATTGTTTTTCAGTTTTCCAGTTTCATGGTTAGTTTTTTTTTTTTTT